GAACTCCGACGTAAATGGCGATTCGTCACCCGCGCGTTCCGGCTCCACCTCGATGCATATGGACGTCGCGTCAGGTGGGAACGGGTATGGAAGCTTGGATCGAGACATTGTTGGCTCAACGTCCGAGTCCGTGTCGTCAGTACTTTCCTCGCTTGGACTATGCACCGACACAGGCGGAGTCTTTGGTCGAAAATGTAACCTGCCCAAGACAGAAATACAAATGTAACAAATACGTGATACAATTATGTATAAAAGTTATTTTTCTTTCGTCGACGAGTATAAATAATATTAAATATTCTTTAATTATAAATGTAGTTTAATAATATTGAAAAGCGTACCACTCTTGTTTGACGGTAGTCGTTGCTGTGGCAGTCGCGTTCGAATCCACTGTCTCGCGATTGGAATCATGTATCGTGAAATCTAAAGTAGACCACATATCATCCAAATCGGCCGTACAGCGATCTAATATTACTCTGCAAATCATCAAAAAAACAGTCAAATAAATGTCATTGTATCTCAACATTTATCAGTTCAATAGATATCATACCTGCCACCACGACCAATTCTCCGTCGTGCGAAGCCAATACACCTTGGCATTGGTTTGCTAATGCTAGTCAAAGCAAACCTGTACTTTTTATCAGCAATACCGCCTTCGCTTTTATCACACCAAGGCCAATTTCCAAAACCACCTGATACAGGCTGTTGATACAGGCAAAGAGAAAAGTTTAAAATTCTAAGAAATCATTGACTATTTCTATTTTAATGACTTGTTCAGTTGCAGTAACTTATAGAAAGAATTCTAGATTTAAATCGTAGATAATTTCAGTATCGATTGATCAATTCTAATCAGGCAATAATCGATAATTAATCAACTCAACATCATTACTGTACTTATATTTACAAAAAAAAAAAAAAAATTAAAATATGATGCATCAGAGTATTTAATTTCAGCTTAGAAAACAGAATTCTTTTTCTTATTTATTCTTATCGGTCTAATTTCCATCAATAATAAACTAAATAAAATATCTTGAGAAAAAAAAGTATAGTAACTTACCGGTAAATAAGAGCTATTCCTATTTCGACGAAAGGCGAATTGACCCTCGTCTGCGGTGTCTTCGTCATCGCGGTCAGAGGGTAACGAGGGCTGGGAGTGTGAATGAGACGGAAGCGGGCTATCTTCATCCGAACTGATGAGCGGGTCCAGCCCGCTTCCGAGAACTCCTGGGCGATTTCCTCGACCTCCACCACTACCCGTTCCGCTACGAATACCAGTGTCGTCCAAACTTCCTCCTCTGCTATCCGTTTTATGTTTTCGCTTTTTGTACTGTCTCTTTTCTTTCCTGGGCACTACTTCATCCTAAATTAAAAGAAAAATGATATTAAAAATTATACTATATAGTAGACATGAAGGCAATATTGCTCCTTCGGAACATCCTAAAGATAATTTAATTATTAAAGATGAATTCTTTCTTTAAAACTAATACATACTTTACAAACTTTATTTGTCCAATTTTGATGAACACCGAACTGATTAGTAAAGAGTGGAGCAAACGCTGGTCTAGGTGCCTTTAATGCCGACACCTCTGACAATATTTGCCCACTGAAATCTTGCGCTTGATATCTATAAAATCAGTAAAATTTCCATTTAATACTGTAATGCATACCAAGATGTCATCATAGTTTTGTACAAACCGTTTCTCGTAAATCTCGATTGTGAGATGCAGATGTTCACGTTTTGTCTTTTCTCGGCGTTTCACCATTTCCAGAAGCGTAACTGCTCTACTAAGATCCCTACGAAGCTTCAACATTTTCTCATAGCTAGTTTCATCATTCTTGCGATTCTTACGCGTTTGCATTTTCTCAGTACGTCGTCTGAATGCAAAATATGGATTATTGGCAGCCGAGCCAAATCGATTCTCTGTTTTAACAGTTAACAGCAAAGGATGTTGCTGTAGAAAATATATGTTATTACTAATATTGTATTCAAGAAATTAATTTAAAAATATAAAAAATTTTAATTTTATGAAAAAAAATAAAGAGAAAAACTCATAGAATAAAATTTGTACACATTCCTATATTCCTAAATTAATAAATATAATTTAAGCAGTACATGTACATTAATATATGACATAACCTCAAAAGCACATTATGAAAATGTGATGCTTACAGTTTTGAGACGCTTGTTGAGCCAATAATCAAACACCGCGATAATCAAATCATCATCCTCTTTCAAAAGTGCCTTAGCTTCGTTGAGAGTAACTACCGTTTGTCCTGAACTCTTCTCCAGACGATCCATCATTTCTTCAAATTGGAGAGGAGTCAATTCCATCTTACGGCTTTGTAGTGCAACCCATTTTTCGTCTTCAGAATCCATATCGTAATCAGGTATGTCTTGTTCCATAGCAAAGGCTGCAAAAAGAAGTAAATCTAATTTTATATATATATATATATATGTATATATATATATATATAAAATTATCTATCAAAGATTAACAAATTAAAAAAATATAATAAAAACAATTTTGATATGCTCTTACGTTGCATATGTATTAATTGGCGAGGCAGCTTATAATCAGCAGGATATATCTTGTTATAAGTCTCCGCATCTGCCAGATCGGTTACTTCAGGAGTAGGAATGATTAGACCCGTACATATCGCTCTTTGAAGATGATGTTCCTATAATAAATAGAATTATATATTTAATAAGAACATATTATATTCTCATCTATCACATAATCATTACTGTTACATATACATAACTTTCTAAATATATTTGCACATACACAAAAACATATTCAATATATTTAATAATGAACTTAAATATCTTCAACAATATAATCTTATTACGAGACTCATTTCAAACAAGTAGTTAAACATTTGAATATCATAATTCTATATAAGCATTATGTATGAATCAAAGCAGAGTATGAGCTTATTTGATTACTATATAAATTGATATTTACTTAATCTCATCTTCAATGTAATGAATTCATTCTATCACAGCATATATTATACAAAAAATCATACTAAATTTAATCAATGATAAACTAATTAAGATACATTAAGACGCAACAGAAGATTGAAAAATTATGAATGTCTTTATTGATTTAGTGTTACACGACTGCAAATGTGTTTTCAAATTGTAAACAGTATCTATCGCGACGTATGTGATACAGAGTCAACGAATTGGATATCCATTTTTTAGTTTTCCTGTAAAAAAAGATTCTGGCATGTCATCGTTTCCAAATTGAAGATTCTTGCACCTAGAAAGTATCGCTAGGACATTGTCCAAGCATGAGGAAAGAAAACGTTTGACATTTGGGATGTAGGGAGTCAGTGCAACATAGGGCGGTGCGAGAGCTGGCGATTAACGGCGTACCAGACGTTGACATCTGTCGCAAGGAATCGAGTCGAGGGTAGAAGGGTACAGGGAGAACGGGTGAGAATCGCGAGTGAGCTGGTAATTACGTTAAAGGTGGAAAATTGTTAATTTTCTAGGGTATACGACAACGGATGGGCCGCCATCTGCCGGTTGTTTACGAAATTTTACGCTGTGGGTAAGATGGCGGACGGAGAAAACATGCTGGAACGAGATGCTGGACGTTCCGACTTACGCATTCCTCCTCCTTTTCCATGCCGCTGGGCATTTGGGGCACTGCGCGGTTAATGGCCGAATAATCTGGCAGATCCGGCAGCTCCTCGGCCATGTAGATCGGCATGGGCTTGGAGGCGTCCAGGGCGCGCGCCCTGAACGACAGCTTGCTCATCCTGAGGGCGGCTGGCTCGCGCGTGTTGACAACCAAGGATGGCTGGCCGCACCGTAAGAGGCCAGTCGGGTCGGCTGGGGGGGCCTCGGGTTTCGCGGAACGCCGTGGACCTGGGCTATTGAGGCCTGGCTGGGGGCCCTGGGGCCGAATTACCCGGCACAGAGAGCGCTCAGGGCCTCATCGTTCCCCGGCCATCGCGCTGGAGCACGGTCACTCAGTCACCAAACGAGATATATCACTTTGAAAACATGTTTGCGTGACACGGTCCCTGCTCAAAGCCATCATGGCCGACGCACAGCCATTTAACACACGTTCGGCCGCCGCCGTGCAGTTCCGCGGGCCGACGTGCGCAGCGCGGGAATCGCTGCCGTTGTGACGCGGCCCGCGCACGCCTATTGGTTCCTACGCTCCCGCCGTATTAGCCGTATGCAGAGTACACACCGTACTCTCGTACTCGCTCCACGCGGAACTTTACTCCAACGTTGCTCCACAATTAATCATATGACGATACACTCGACAAAAAAAGTCAGAATGACACGCACGTCGACACGTACGTATTGTTTAATAAAATTCGTACTCTCTTACGTCTTTATATTTGCGTTACAAATACAATCTCGTGCAGATTCGTGTCCGTTGAACATCTAATTCTGAAACAAGAGTTTACAATTGTAGCATATTCTTTTGTCCAAAAAAATAAATAAATGTACATTGTTTTTTTTATATGTCATAATTACATTCTGGTGCCTCTCGTTACATAATATTTAATTATTGCGATACAAAGGAGCGAGCATTTTTTTATTATTACAAAGAAAAATGAGGCGTCCCAGGTATGTTTAGTTGGAACTATTTTCGCGGCTTCTGCGCATGCGTCGTCACCGGTGCGGCGGGTGCTTGAAGTTAGCTTACAGACTGCCGTCGAACCGCGCCAAATCCGAAACGAGAGACACTTCGCGTTGCGAGATCTATTCGTTTTAATTACGTTCTCTGTATTTAAAATAAAGTAGAGTGTGTTCGTTTTGGGCTTCAGGGGAAGAAATATGAGAGGTTTAGGAGAAGCAACGAGGATGGAGTACTTTGCAATGAAGCAAATCAATCTATCGCGTTCACCGACGAGGCGCTTAAAATTATCTACGCAAAACGTCGCCGTCGAACGGCGCCAAATGCGCGACGGACGCGATGATATTTCATCACGTGTCACCGACTCCGTTGATTGAAAAGAGGAGGAGAGCGGAAATTAAACGGCAGTTATCGCCAGTTATCGTACGCTTGACTCACGTAGCCCGCTCGTTGCGGAAATTGCACGGAGTTCGCAACAAAATTGGGTGTGCAACATGATGCAGACCGTCGTTGTCCTGTCCGTGATTCCTAGGTTATCTTACCACCTGCGCTCGCGGTTGCCAAATCTGCGCATTTCCGACGTATCACCAGGTAACGGTGCTTTGCACGCACATGATGCGACGCAACCGCGTCTCGGGACGCGATCTCCCTGCTCGCCAATCGTCCCGCGTGCCGCCGATAACCCCCTCGCGACGAACACGTGTCGAATTCCCATTGCCACTGATGGCGGCCTCCCGCCATTCCCGCGAGGGGGCGTATGCGCGCCGCCGCGGGAAAATTCGATACTACATATCACGTTTCGCCGAGCCAAACGGTGGCAGGAATTTAAGTTTTTAAACATGATGGACGTGCAAAAAATCGATTTTACTAAAAACGCGTTTCAGATCTTATTAATTTAAAATTATCGCAATTTTTAAACACAGACGTGCATCATTTTGATTGAAATTTTCCTTAGAATTTTTATATAAATTTTAGAATTTTTCAGAATTCCTGAATAATTTTATAACTTCATAGAAAATTTCGTAGATCTTTTATATAAATTGAAACTTTCATATAAATTTTCAAAAGTATCGAGGAAGTCTACATTTTTTTTAGAATTGTACACGTGAATTCTAAAATTCTGAGATTTCTAAAATTTCTTGACTTCTGGTAAAGTCTTATAAAAAATTTGAAAGTTTTAGATATTTTTTCAGAAATTGTAGAAAAAGAAATTTTTTAATATTTCAGACTTCCCTTATAAAATTCTAAGAAAATTTTCTCAGTGTTTCTAAGTGTATAATATATATAAAAATTTTGAAAAAAAAATTTCACCGAAGTAACGCCTAAAAAATTGCAATATGATAATCGCGACAAAAATTTTAACTTCAAAAAAACATCCACATAGCTATTTATTAAGTATATTTTTGTATTTTTTTAAATATAGGACAAGCTGATACTTTATCCAAACTTAATGAGGCAGAAATATTAATAGCTGACTGTGATTTATTAATACCTTATGCAAACAAGTTGACATCGATCAAATGGGTACAGACGACCTGGGCTGGTTTGGATAAATTCATTCCACATGTGCAAAACACGCAAAGAGATTATATATTGACTCGTTTCTCAGGCGAGTCATTTGGTCTAGCCATGTCCGAATACGTGATAGCGCAAATTGTCAACTACGAGCGTAACCAGAGACAACAGTACGAGAATCAAAGGCTTGCTGAATGGAAACAAGAAGGCAGATTGATAAACCACAGATTTATACATGATTTAACCATAGGTATCTTAGGAGTAGGAACAATAGGAAAGTCAAGTAAGCTACGAATAACAAAAAAATGAATTCAGTCATTTGCATTATACTAGTATAGATTAAAGCATATTAAAAACTGATATACAGAAAATTAGCAAAGTAAATGTAAAAACACATAAATATTTTAAACAATATTTTAAACAATTAAATGCTCAATAATATTGTGTCACTCAACAAAATATACATGTATTATTTCATTGTTGTCAAAGTTGATTGTGTCATTGAATTTAAATACTTTATATGAAACAGCTTTTAATATATACTAATTCAGTGTAATGTGAGTGACCGAATTCATCATTAATTTTACTTAAAACGTAAGCAAGTAATAAAGTTTCAATAAAAATATTTTCTTTTAATATTTACATAGTTGCAGAAAAGTTAAAGTTATTTGGCGCAAGTATCTGGGGAATGACACGTACCGTTCCGAAAGAGAAATTACCGTACCTCGATGAACACAGAACCGTAGATAATTTGCCGGACATCCTGAAAAATTGCGACTACATCATTAATGTATTACCTTCAACTCAGGACACGATAGGACTTTTAAATGACAACGTCTTGGAACATTGCAAAGGCAAGAATGCAGTTTTCATGAACGTAGGCCGGGGTTCCGTTATTAGAGAAACGGACTTAATAAACGCTCTTGAGCAGAAATGGATTTCAGCTGCTATTTTAGATGTATTTGAAAAAGAGCCATTGCCAAAGGAGAGCAAGTTATGGAGCCTTCCACAAGTAATTGTTCTTTGTTAATTATCAACTAAAAAAATTTTAATCTTTAAAACTAACAATACTATTGTCTGTTTAGGTAACAATCTCACCACATAATTCAGCTGTAACAATTGCTCATAATGTTGCGAAGTTATTCGCCGCGAATTATGCTAGATATGTAAACGGAGAAAGCATGATAAATGTGTTTGATTTTAATAAAGGCTATTAAAGGTCTGGGACTGTACAGTGTTTCGTCACGATAACAAGCATACACACAATAAATATTTATTGTTAAAAATATACGTACAGATTGAAATAAACATGTTTTAGATATCTTGAGCTTCGTAATTGTTTCTGATATTAAAGTTTAAGTCACATACAACTTTAATCTTATACTTATATAATTTTCCAAAAAGTAAAATAAAATGCTTATCATTTTTTTATACAGTTCTTTAAGAACTTACGTACCTTTAGATTCAAACTATCTAAATATAGATATCTCTGTCATAACATAAAAATTCGCAAAATAAATTATATAATTTACTTGAATAAGTAAAATAAATTAAAAACATACCTCTAAATTGAAATATTAAACTTTAAGTAACAGTTTTTAAATAAAAAAAACGAACTATCTTAATATCTGAAATGATTTGATTACATTAGCAATTTATTCCTAATAATCTAAAGTATAAAAATCTAAATAAAGAATATATAAATGTTTTTATATTATATATATTATATATATTATGCATGAACACCATATCTCTCTTCGCATGATATTGTACACATGGAGGTATATTAAAGTGAAATATTATGGAAAGATATAGAAACCTATTCAGTAGGCGTCTCTTCGGTAGGCGTTTCTTCAATAGGCCGAGGGGACGGAACCAAACCGCGAATGCACAAGTCGTACACTACCTCTTCAATTTTTTTTACATCATACTTGAGAGCATCAAAACGTTTCCTCAATATATCATTCTTTAAGTTTAATAGCCGAAACCCTGCGTTTAATTCATTAACGAATGTTGCGATTTCTATTGGCCAAGAATAATGACCATTTGTGACGCTATTTACAGCAAAACGACTCTAAAAAGAACATATAGTTAAACTATCATGTGAGAAGAATATATATACCATTATAGAAAATACATACCAATTCAGCAGACAACTGAAGCAGACCCAGTAAAAAATCTTCCAGATCCAAATGGAAGCCATCCTCTCTGTTATTTTTTACTGCAAGAATGAAAATTATTGTGAGTTTATCAAAATTTAGTAAAGCAAATGTTTAAATGTTATATAATGTAAAAGCAAATGTTTAAATGTTATTTAAATGCATAGAATTATTTAAACATTGAATATAATTATATATTTATATACCTCCTAATATATCTGCAACAGTTTTCTTGTCAACTAAGAGTTTAATTTCGAAGTATATTACTAGAGCAACTAGAAAGCACAGCCTTTGAGTGACAAAACGCCATTGGTCGTGATAACGATAATACTGATTATTTGGTACCACTTCAGCAAGACTCGCATATTGTATCCTTATGTCTGCAAATATCTCTCTTGCTTTTGAACAATATTTCGATACAACTGTAATTTATCAATAACAAGTAAATTATTATAATATAACTTTACATATATGAAACTAAAAAATTTATGTTTAAAAACATACTTATATTTTCCTCCATTGTATGATGCACTGTATGAATATTTTGCAATGTCATCAATATATCCCTAGAATTTTTCTCAATATTCTTCACAATAACACGGATTTGCTAAAACAAAACAAAAAATTTGATGATAAAACATTGAAAACATATATTGCTTCATATATCTCCGATTTTATCTCCTACTTTTTCTCTTTCTTTGCCATTGTTCATCAACAATCATGTTTCCAAAGTTTGTTTTATCTTAGGAGAAGAAAAAGAAGAGAAACATGATAAGAGGCAAAAGGTGAAAAATACAAAAGCAAAAATCAGACTTAAAAGATATGGAAAATCTGCTTTTAGCAGCACAAGAAGAGAGTTGACATCCCTCAATATACTTTCTGAGTTCTTTGAAGTGGAATTTCATTTTAAAGAGTGAAAAGTGAATCAGTTTTGAAAAAGACTGGCTTAATTTTCAATCTTTGAGAATGAGATTTTCATTTTTCATTTTTCAAAATGACAATTTACGTTGAATTAACGTTATAATGGAATTAGAATATTAGACAAACTGTTATATTTGAGCGACGCTTTCGTGAACCTTTCAAAATTTAAATGGAACTGGAAAAAAAAATAAAAAGATACGAAATTGCACGCGATCTGGTTCACAACATAACCTAATCAGAGTCCGTTCTCATGTCGATACGCACCTCGCGTATTTCTTGCTCGTTGTTCAGACAGTCTTGGAATGAAGTAAACATCTCCGTTATCGTAGAGGACATGGTGTCTTCCATAGTGTCTTATTTTCGAGGAAAAGTTATTTTCGCGTAATACTGAACTGTGTACGAACTGTGTACACGCACCGATCAATTTTGTCGAATAAATCAGAATGAACGTTGGCAACAATCTGCAAACAACGACGCGACATCTATGCGTCGTCGAGCATACTATGTGACCACGTTTGCTGGTTCGATCACAGAAGGCGACACCGGGCAGTTTTTGCACGCGTTAGTGCGTCAAGTTATAATTAGTTGACGCTAGTTGATTGATTATTCGTTCAGCTATGTTCAGCGCTAAATTTCATTTTTTTACACTTGATAAAAAAAATGAACAATATTATGTATCAAATATAACATGCAAATAACAGAACATACTTATATATTATTACGAAATAAAAAATATAGCCCCCCCCCCCCACTTTATTGTATTTAAACAAGATATTTTTTTCGAGATAATTTATTTCTTACTAAAGCTTAATTATCTAAGTTTCAATATTAAATCAGATTTATTATTAATTATGTTATGCATGTATTTCTACGCAATTTTATAGCTTGCTACGCGCATGTCGTTTATTAATTTATAATATAAACAGCGCTATATAATTTTATCAGTTATTAATGTTTGTCATTTTTGTAGTCAATCCTAATAAATTCATCTTTATTTGCATATAAATTAGGACGACAAATAAAAACGAAAACTTTGATTTTTCAAAAATCTCTCTCTCATGAATGGGAGATATAAACTTTCTGAAATTATCTGTCTATTCGCAAGTGATATTTTTATACTTATTAAACGTAATAAAATTTCTCGAAAGATATAAATTTATTTGCTTATATTTCAACTCTATATTTCGACTAATGCCAGAGCGCGGCAGGTCGAAACTCGAAAACATGCCTGAGCGGCGCGCACGATGTAGCGAATTCGAGCCGAGCTGCGAGCTGCGAACACATTCGGTGAGCGAGTCGCGTCGGCCGCGTCCGTTCGGGCGTTCGCAAGGTCTCGTACTCGAGGTATATAAATAGAAACCAGTAGGTCCTGCTGCGCGCGCGAACTCAAGAAAGGCGGCAGCGACGGCTTGGAATTCTGCATACAAGCCGCCCGCCGCGCAGCATCACGCACAGGTCGCGGAGGACGCCAATCCCGCGCATCCCTCCAATGGGGGAGAGAATTCGCGGGCGTGTCATTGATCCCGATACACGCTAGCGGTTGAGCAACATTCACGGCGAGAGCAGACGAGAGAGGAGAGCGAGGGACTCGTTTTATGGAAAAATCCGCGCGCGCCCACATTGAACGTTCACGGGCGTGATCGCTCGCTCGAGTTAATCGGTGCGAGGAGTCGCGAGGAATCCGTGGTCGATTGTCGGAAAAACGTTTCCATCTGGTTTTTACCGGACTAGGTTTCGAAAATTGATGTCATTCCGAGATCTTTTCACGGAGAGAGAAAGAGAGAGAGAGAGATGTTTCGCGAAGAATTTTCCCACGCCTCAATCAGATTCTTGATGGAATCATGATCGATTTTGATCCTCTTCCTCTTCCTTCTAGAGCTTGACTTCTTCGCCGATGTTTTGGTAACAATAGGCTTGTTTTTTTTAACTGAATTTCTTGTACAATTTATGTTTCTTTTTTTTTTTTACATCGCAGAATAAAAGAACCGGTTTCACCATCTCTTATTAGCTCGATTGATTAGCCCGATTATTCCATTGGAATTGACCAATCGCATTTGTTAAGTAGAATTAATCAAAATTGATCAATCACGACCTATCCGACTAAGCTATTGGAGATGATGAAACCAACCCAAAGAGAAAAGATGAATTGTGCAAGTAGTTCAATTAAAAAGAATAAACTGATGTCCGTTTTTATCATCATAAATTAACTTTAATCTCGGTTTAACTTATTTTTTATCTTTTTAGTTTTAAAAATTAGAAAAGTATAAAAAGTAAGTTAAACCGAGATTAAAGTTAATCTACATTGACAGAAATAGACATAATTCTTACATCTATTTTTACTAATATAGATTAATGTTAATCTCAGTTCAACTTACTCTTCATCTTCTTTTATTTCTTAGAACTTTTATTTCTTAGAAAAAGATGAAGAGTAATTATTAGTTAATGATTGAACCGAGAGATTAATTGGACCAAAGTTAATCTAAACTAGTAGAAACAAACATAAGGATATCTATATGTATGTTCCATCAATGTAGATTAATTTTAATCTCGTCACAGCACTCTTCATTCAATCAAAAGATATCCTGGGAACATCTTCAGGACATAGAGATGTCTTCAATGGATGTCTATAAGATGTGCTCTGAATGCACTGTAGAAATTATTATTTTTGGAGCTTTGTATACTTAATGAAGATTGATTCGCGAGATCCTGTTAAATTATATCGTGCTCTCGTTATGTGTGCGAGTCGCGTTCTACCATCCGGGGTCCGATGAAGAAACGATGAAGAGAGGCACTCGGCCTTGCGGCGGCCTTCGCCGGCTTCTCGCTCTATACTCCGTTCGCGATTACTTCAAATGTACGCGAATTTTTCGCGACTCATTCCATCGCGTTCTGTCGAGATTAAATAAAAAATAAAAAAATATAAAAAAACTGATATCTCGCCTACCGTTCTGAAAACCGGCGTTGAAGACTTTTTACGCAGCGCGATGTAATGGCGCCGATAACATTCGTGAAAGCTTTTGCGGTATCTTTTCTCGTTATGTAAAGCGGTCAACAGCCCGCATACATATACAATGTACGTACGCAAATGAAACTCGGTTATATACGGGAGAAGCAGGAGGAAGAAACGGCGATAAAGGCAACGATCCCCGGGAGGACCCCGTTAAACTTCGCATTCCTCTCCTCTCCGGTAGACATCAATCTCAATAAAATATCCTGCCAATGCGAATCGTCGTAAATTCGTGGTACCTCGGGAACGTTCTTGTTCCTCGTCTCTGTTGTGCGCTATTTTTAGAGATGCCGATCTTATCTTGGCGAGAAAATAACGCGGGCGCACGAACGGCGGGCCTCACCGACGTGTAAAGGGACCTCTCGTCCCTCCTTACCTCTTCCTGACCCCGAGATATTCCCGTCAACAATACGGGAGATATTTACGCGATTCACATGGGTAACACCTCGCGTGTTGTACAGCAACGATCGCGATTCCCTGGAAAGGAGAAAATTCTGCTCGCACGATTGAGAAGAGTGACATTTCTAGAGCAAATCCCAAGAAACATCACCAAGTCAAGAGAAAGTCAAAGTGACTTTATTTTGATTTTTAGTAACAAAATTTTATTGAGAATCAAAATCAAGTCATTCTGATTTTTTAATTGATTTTTGCGTGTTTCTTAGCCGATGACGGTGTCGACAACGGTGTGAATATAAATGATTTTGAATTTGATTAGTATTAATCAAAGAAATATACTTTAGTAAATTTTTTTCAATGTGAATAATATTAATTAATATTAATATTCATTAAAAAAATGTATGAGTTACACGTATGGAATGGAAATTTGAATAACCAGCATGATTGAAAACTAGTCGCATGGCAGGCGATTTAGAGGCAAACCCTCTTTTGCAATCACTTTCACCACATTACTTACGAATCGCGGACAAACAGACGAAATATGTACGTCGCAATCACAGTAGCGACGCAATTGCTGCGGAAGCGGCTTATGATTCAATGTTTGCGCGCTTTAAACAGGTTTGCGCGGATTTAACATAAGCTCAGCGCGAGCAAAAGACAGAATAACAAATCATATTTACACACATAAATATGGAAACGGATGCCTGAGAGAATAATTTAAAAAAAAAAGCAAGAAGCACGTAATGTGCCCTTTGAGAATTCCGTCGAGCAACGTGCACGGAGATTACATTGTTCCCTGCTCGCCAGTCATTATAAAAAATTTTTATCTGATTTAAGAATAAAAATGTATAACCGCGATGTTCATAGTTTTTTTTTCTTAATTGCAATTATAACGTAATTGTAAAGCTTAGTGCTACTTCACAGTTCACATTCTTTTATATACTTCCCACGATTATATTTCGCGAGAGGAAAACGTTATCGTCTTATTATTAAATTCTTTTAATATGATTAGTTTTGTCCTTAGTTTCTCACTGGATTTAAATGTATATATAAATCAATCATATTAAAGAAGCTTACAGTTATAAAGCTGCTTTTTCTGTTGAACGCAACCATTGTTCAGCATGCTTGAGATTGTCACATAATTATTTTGGTGGGCCAATAAAATTATTTTTAGATCTGTATCTAACTTTTTGGATACTTCAGCAAAATCGTTCTTTCTGTATTGGAAAAATAGACGGAAAAATAGCTGTACAGACTCTCGAAGTTTCTTCATCTCGCAATCTTGGCAAACCGACATCCTCCGATATCTCAATCGCTAAGCAAAGACGCAAACGACCTTTAAACCTTCTTTTAAACCTTAAGTTGTAAAAAATTGATCAATCACAGTCTAATATGAGGAGAAAGACTTAAGGCTTAAGTTTTACACCTTAACATCTCATTGGAGACACAGCTTAACGTAAACAAGCGTGAATGTAACACATGCAACATGCACCGACGTAAATGTCAGGGTCATCAGCGACATAACGCAGAAAATATCATTTAAATATCAATGTTACCCCGATGGATTTATATTTATAGAAACATATTTTCTCACGTACCAATCGGATCAAAGGTTGCAAAATGCGGCGAACGGGAACATAAAACCGGATTATCGTTATCCCAAAAAGTTGCATATCAGCCTTTCGCGGAGAATTTTCTGTACATCTTAAATCGATTTACTTCTCCCAGTTCTCTTCTTTCTGTTAAGCTCGCTCGGTTTTTTTCCGTAAAGATCTTCCCCGTCATTTCTTTTTCTTTCCTATAGATTGTTTTTCCAAGTCCGATCGAACGGAATCACATGGAACGTCTTAAGATTAATCGCGCGTTTTCTGGCCGCGATCTAGACTTTGCTTGGCGTTCTCACGTGCTACGAAGAGAATTTCTCTCGGACCAGCTTCGACAGAGGAGAACCGGGAATGCGATGATCAAACGGGAAATTAAACGAGACTCGTATTACATCGTTCATTATTTTTTCCATCGGAAAACAAGCTGCGTAAACAC